GATATATGTATCAGGCACAATAAATATTGGAAATGATTCATTTGAACAATCCCAAATCACAATGCCCCACCTAAGTAAGTCCTTTAGTTCTTGGCAGATAAATCATCAAGCACGAATTTAGACATTTACTTCCACGGTTCCACCCACACAGGATCATGCAAGAAATGTAAAGTGAGTACGGAAATTTCTTTTTCCAAGCCATGGGAGATGCAAGAACCTTCGTATTGTGCTACCCTGGCTGGCGACACCGGTGCCCTGCCGTCGTCCTGCTCCCACGCCGCACTAATCTTCATCCGGTACCATCTGCACGCAGACACAAGCAAATTTCAAAAGAAATAATCAAATTTCATAGCGTCCGCATGTTGGGGAAAAAGGGGCGGAAATTTGCAACTGATCGTTCTCCGAGAGGAATGGACAGAAGAACAAAATTAGAATGTGAAATTACCAAACAGGGTGTCGGAAAAATACAAAAATAAAATAAAATCGTACCAGATTACCAATCAGGGAACCAGGAATGAAATTCCCCATAGAAATCTTCTTTAATATAGATGGTGCTATATGTATTCTCGAAAAAGAATTCCGCATAGAAATGGTCACAGGAACGAAACATTCATCTGAAGGAAAATCGCATGCCAATCGTATCTCTATCTACCCGACAGAGGCTCAGGAAAATCCACATGCCGCCATTCAAGAATCAAGAAAAGAAGGAGCGCCAATGGAAGGAGGGAAGATGCACATGGCCCTTCTCGTTACCCTTGGTGGTACAGGTCGAGATTGTGGAAGCGGTCAATGTAGATGGCCACCTCGTGCGCCGTCTCCATCGCGCCCCGCGGCGGCCGGAGAAGGATCGGCCGGCGGCCGGCGGCTGGCGGCGTCGCGCGCACACCCGCTTCCACTACCAACGCCGGCGAAATCGCCTTTGCCGCTCCCCGCAGACCGCGCCGTGTGTGTGGGGGCCAACCCTTACGCGCTCTCGGCTCTCCTTCTTTCCTGAGCTTTTATCCCAATGGGCCTCTTCTACCTCCTCGTTCAGGAGGCCACTTTGGGCCCATATCAGTCTATCTTTCGGATCAACAACAGAGAGCCCAGCCCATGAAGCATTCGGCTTCATCCTTCTTAAGCCCTGGAGAAACCCCGCCGCCAGCAGTAGCCAGCCACCGCCTCCAGCTGCCCGTGGCGCCGCCGCGGCGAGCGATGCCGGTGATCACAGCCATGTATCAAGCGCTTCCGCGCCGCGGATACACCCTCCTCGTCCTCCGCCTCCGGGGGCTTCGCGGGCTCAGCTCGCACGCGGGCGGCGGCGAGCGGTGGAGGGGGCAGCCCCAGCAGCAGCAGCAGCAGGAGGAAAGCAAGGAGGTCAAGGTGTCGGTGTGGTGGGACTTCCAGAAGTGCCAGCTTCCGCCCGACGCCAACCCCTGCCGCGTGGCCCCGCGCGTCACGGCCGCGCTGCGCGCCGCCGGCATCCGGGGCCCCGTCGAGATCACCGCCTTCGGCGATGTTTTCGTGCTCCCCCGCCCCGTCCAGGAGGTCCTCGCGGCCACCGGCGTCGCGTTCTCGCACGTCCCCACCAGTTGCGTCCTCCACCTCCGCCAGCCACCATTTCCTTACTCGCCTACTGTCATTGTTTGGGTTTTCTATCACACGAATTGGGAATGTTATTACCTTATATGCCTCAGAATGCATTGCAGAAATGTCCGTCTGTTTTTATGCTGTTGCCTAGGTTGCATGTAGTTGGGCACAGTGGGGTGTTATGGGATCGAAACTGCTATGCAGACGATGCACTACATGCACGACAGCTGCACGATGTCAATCTAGCCATCTGTTGCACTTAGATAATATGCACGGACGCACTGATGTGCTGTATCGTGCACAAATCGTCTGCTATGCGTCGTGTGCATAGCAGCTCTCTTATGGGATTGGAAATTTGCTACAAGTTGCATTAATTGGTGTATGAATGCTGAAAATGAAAGCAGATTCTAGATGATACTCCCTCCGTCCCGCAATTTAAGAGCATTTTTGCTGGAGGGAGTACTTCGTTTTGTATTTACCGGATTGATATTTGTGCTAAATGTACCTCGATCATTTCCAATATATCATTGTGAGGTATACTATTTTGTCGATGTTTAATAGGAACCGTTACACTTTCTTGTCTTCTTCTTCATAAAAATAGATAGAGGTTGCCCATTGGGGTCATCTCAGTTGACCTTAGAATTATTCAGGCTTTATCGGTGTCCTTCTTTATTAAGTTCTAGAAAAGTTGGGGTCACTAAAACATGAAAATTGCTCTATATGCAATAACTCATATGTATGTGTCATGTATACAAAAAAAAGCTGTTTAAACAGTCTATTTGTGGTCTTTGGAGAAATTTTACCCAACACAACTGGTAAATAAGTAGATGGACAGTGTAGGGAAGCCTGCTCGCTTATCTACTGTTATGGTGTTATAAGGCTATTTTGGTGAGTGCATATTACTGAATTTCAATTCTCAGCTAGTCTCGGAGTATTTCTAGTCTTCAACTCTTCTTTTGTCGCTTCAAGTTAAATGGGACTCAGTTCTGTATTTTTTTTTCTTAATGTTGCATGTAGTTTTTACTTATCTTGCGCTGCTGTTTGATCGTATGGTACTAATAATACTGACTTTGTATAGGTGGAAAGGATGGTTCTGACAGATCATTCATTGCTGATCTTGTCTATTGGATTGCTCAGAACCCTCCACCAGCCCATTTCTTCCTTATATCTGGGGATAAACACTTTGCAAATATTCTGCATCGCCTTCGGATGAGCAATTACAACATACTGCTAGCCTGTCCCACTACTGAGCCCAGCATTCTGTGCAGTGCAGCAACAATTATGTGGCCGTGGGAAGCTTTGATTAAAGGGGAGGGGTTTACTCGGAAACATTTTAACCAGCCTCCTGATGGTTTGTCCTGTTCTTGGTATGGTAATTACAGGGGAGCTCTTGATGACCCCTTCCAGAAAGCAGAACCAAAGCACTCCGGAAATGTATCATTGCAAACCAAGAAGCCAGAGAAGCTACCTATAGTCTCCAGATCTGCGGTCAACGGGCCTGATTATGCCAACTTTATAGATCCTCTACCAGGTGATAGTCAACCCGCTGTATTTGGTGAAAAAAGCTTTATGAGAATGAGTTCTCAGCAAAGTATTGGTGAGAGAAAATGCCTCATTGAGACTAAGAATGAGAAGCCACGATCATCCAGTGTCCCATCTTCTCCATCAGATATATTATCTTTAGAATCTTTAGAACAAAAGAAAATTCTGGTCGGTGATGACCCCTTCCTGCAAGGAGAATCCAAGCACTCCATGAATGTACCATTGCAGCCCAAGAAACCAGAGGAGACACCTAGAATCCCCAAATCTGTGGTCAACTGTATCAGGAGAGCACTAAACTCTTATCCTGGAGGGGTCAACGTTGAAGATCTTCTGAGAGAACTTAAAGAGAACAAGTTGTTTATGTATAATGGATTATATGGCTTGAAAAACTTCAGTGCTCTTCTCCAAGCTATGCCTGATTATGTCAAATTTATAGATCCTTTACCAGGTGATAGTCAACCTGCCGTAGTTGGTGAAAAAAGCTTTAATAGATTTCCTTCTGCTCAAAGTAATGGTGAGGTAAAATGCCTCATTGAGACGAAGAATGAGAAGCCACCATCTTCTCCATCAGATATATTGTCTCCAGAACAAAGGAAGATTCCGATAGCTGATGCTCCATCTTCCCAGTGTGGTTTGTTATCTAGAGACCAAAGGAAAGCTCCACCCGTAGATTTTATTAAGCCATCTGAACCACCTGCGTGTCATATGGAAGCTGATATGGTGATCACTGCTGCAACTCCCTCCTCGGAGGCTCAAGGTACTACTGGTAAAAAAGGGCTACTTGAAAGGATTCAGATACTATGGACTGGTCCCAAGACCATTAAGCCCCAGGTCCATCCATCTCATGATGCTACTTTTTCTGAAGGGTCCAGTGATGTAACAAGCCAGGAAGGGCAACATAACAGACGTTTGAGAAAGGCCATGAAGAATTGTTCCACAACTGACAGTCCTGATGTGAATGGTCCTGATAACAGTTCAGCAGGCAGCACTAGTTTGTCAAATGACCTGTCTAATAACTGTTCTGAAACAGATGTCAAGGGGGATTTTGCAAATACAAAGAATCACTCTGGCGAAACAGTCAAAATCAGCAAGCCTGAAAAGATACGAGGTTCTGGAGAAAGCAACAAAGGAATATTTAGCTGGGCAGCAAGGTGGTGGTCAGCTGGAAAATCAGATAAAAAAGATAATCAAAATCGTGATGGAACAAGGAAAGATTTGGACAAAGGATGTTCATTTGTTAACAGTGCAAGTGGACAGCAAGTAGGAGTTGAAATGTTTGAAAAATCTTACTTCTGGGATGCACTACAGCAATATCTTTTAACCCATCATGGAGCAAAACTTGTTTCAGAAGCAAAGGCAAGGTAAATGTATCTTTCCTGCTTCTCCTTTTATTTCTTATATCTACCCAACATCAATGTTTGTGACATTGGCTTCAGATTTAATAAGTAGTAGCAAATTACGACCTATCACAGATAATATAACCTGGATTAACAATACTAGCTCTTTGGTTAAGAACCAGTTGTAGATCTGTAACTGAAATGAGAACAAAAGCTTGATGTCCGGAAAACTATGGGGTCGCATTTTTGCTTGCAAGCTGATCCCATGGCACCTTCTAGGATATTGTGCAATTTTGTAGAAAAACACAGAAACTTAATCATGCACCCAGAAACATGACGAGAAGACTGAGCATAAGGTGCATAGTGGTAGTGTTTTGCTCATATTGAGTGGATTCTTTTGTTCATGAACCCGAGCTGATCCCTTTTTCTGTTCTCCAACTTGTTTGAAGATCAATATGCTAGTCTGAATATCCTGATTACTAGTAACCAATAAGCTTCATTGTGGTTGTCAACTTGTCATATCTGGAGTGACAAACAGTGCAGTGCTCAGTGGATGATCCATCATACTGTATTACAAGCAAATGTCTTGCTCGTAAGCGTTAACAGAAACATATCACCTGTGGAAGCACCAAAATATAATATGAAATTGCATGGTGTATTGCCTGCCTGGTGATGTTGCTGGGTCGTGTAGATAAAAAATCAATGTATTTTAAAATTACTTTCTTTTCCTTAAAATAAAACAATACTTTCCTTGTCTGCTCATGATTTCATGATGTATATTGTTCTTATTGACACGAATCAAATAAGGATGATATTTCCTGAACTGGGTATGATATCTATATGCTTGTGAAACACTGAAACATATATAGTCCAGGTCCAAACTTATTATATTCATCGAGTTACAGTACAGTTATTCCAGCTCATGCAATTCCCATCCTATGGTGGACAAGGACTTGTCTGACATGTAATGTGAAATAATCTATGGACCGATTGTTTAGAAAGTACTATTACTCAGATAGTTGCTTATTTTTGGCAGGGAGGAGTTGGCACATGGACTGCAGAAGGGCTGTTCGCTTCTCAAAGGCCTTGACGAGAGACATATCCATCAGTTAGTACAGCTGTTGATCTCTGAGAAGAAATGGATCAAGGAGTGTAGGTCGGAAACTTTTCATTTCCAACTTACGCTGCCTCAGAGAGGAACATGTGCTCCATTATATTCCTGTAAACCAGAAGGGTCAAGTTCTCTTGCAAATGGAAGCACAACCATATCAAGTAAGTTGTTCCCTGCAAGAAACGGAAACAGCCAGGCCAGCTGCAAGGGCAATGAAGACCAAGGTAATGTCGATGACTTTGCCTGGGAAGAGCTTGGTCCTGTGTCCAGTGCTGGTGATCCTCATCCAGAAACTGATAAAGTGGTGCGCTATCACCCTCCCACCTCGTCAGATGATGAGTTTTCTGATGGTGAAATTCATGCGATAGATGAACAAGCAGGAAAAGATTCGGATGCTGAATTTTCCGAGGATGAAAATCATACAGCAAGCCAACAAGCAAGAAGAGACCCATCACGGAGCTCGCTCGTCGAAATTATTGCCTCGTGGGAAACACAAACAGGCAAGGATGATGGTTCACCGCCAAGAAATTTCAAGGCGGAATGCTCTCGATCGAATAAACATTATCGTCAGTGTTATCGTCCTTCGACCAAGCAGCAGCAACACTCGTGATATCAAGTCAGCACTGGTGCTTTGCAAGTAGTATAAAATAAAATGCTGTCACAATTGAACATTATTATTTTGTGTTCTCTCATTTATTTTTCATTGTCATTATTAACATCAACACGTTTGTGGTATGCACTAGATGATGGCCTTTTGTAATTATGCTAAACGTATAAAACCATAGAATATTTTCATGGCAAATATCTCTAATTTGCATGTCTATATAGAGGATTTGGTCGCTGATTACACAATCAGACCAATTGCGCTGCTTGCGATCATCTATGCTTCTACACCCAGCCCTACCAATTAGGGGAGTCGTGCGCATCAACATCTGATCTTAAACAGCTTCAGGCTTAACAAATCTTGCCCTAGATCGCTCCCACTCCATTCAAAGGATACAGTCTCACCTTCCAACATCAGCTGCTCATTTTTCACATCTTCGTCGCAACTAGACATGCATGCATGTTACGATATGGTACACCAGATTGCCATCCAGCATTCCATGCCGGTTCATGTGTTCTCCCTAATCCAGGCGTTGAACTCGTCCATCCTTAGTGCGAAAGAACTTGAGCTCGCCTTTCCACCTCCGCCATATGCCTAAATTTCAAACGGCATGGTGAGGTATGAACAGCTAAACTACTAAAAGACTAAAACCATGCTGGTTTACAGAGACAATAAGAGAAACACGCACCTTGGCGACCTCTGCTGTGTTGGTTGAATTGTCTGTAGTCCTCAAGCAGATCTTCAGCAGTCCACGTTGCATAAAGACCACTGCCCCAATTGGTCTACCAAGTGAAACAAAGCGTTCATGAAAAATCACTGAAACAACGCCAACCACACACAATTTCGGTGTCCATGTGCTCTGAAACTTGCAAACAAAGTTTGTACCTTAATCCGGCGCCAGCACTCATCTTGCTCAACTCCAAGCCGATTTCGTGGCTCAGCTTTGAATCCCCGTCGGCTCTGATTGCCTAATAGTACAGTAAAGCATGTAATGTTATAACATAAGATTTCTTTCAACAGTACGAACACAATAAGTTTCAGATGTAAAATTGTGGATGACAAGGCCACCAAAAAACTCTTGATTTTGTTTTATTAGCCAACTAATATCTGCTCTCAAACTTTCGGGGCTGGGTCCATTAATGCCCAAGCATGAAACCATGTTTGCAGCAATACTGCAGGCAGATAAGTGCATGAGAATCAAAGAATGCTCTTAAGCATAAATAAGTTTGCATCAAATGGCAGCTTTGAACTATGAGGTTAATCATTGATTTCAAGCGAGAAACTATGAGGTCCACATGTCTTTGAACTATAGATAGTCTTTAGTTTAACTAAACAATAAAGGAAAAATGGCCCAGAGTATTTTGCCTTTGAACTAGACTTAATGTAGCCCATACCATTAATGTGAGAGCAGTCCTGGATGCACATATTACATGCTTGTGCTAAAGAAATCTAAGGACGCTCCAGTAAAGAAAAAATAGGTGCTATGCGGCTATCACTATCAAAAGGTACATCAAGGATAATAACTATAATAATGCAAGAGCATTATTTTCACTTACAAGGCATTCACCATATAGCCCTTGTCCGAGGTAAATCTTGAAAGGATTGTGTATGAGCTTCCTTGCAGCCTCTAGACGATTTTGAGCTAATGAATTCCCTCTAGCAAGCAGATCGCTAACATCAAGTTGCATTAGCTGTTTGGAGTGCCAACAAAATGGTGATTGACCATGCCATCCTCAGGGATACACAAAAGAAGCTTATAAGCATGATTGCAGCGGGTAGACCTTCACCTGCTCAAAAACATGAGGATTACTGACACAATTTAACTTTGCACGCTCATCCCTGAGAGCTGTATGAAATGCTCTGCTATCGGGCAGCTGCCATTGCCGCAGATCAGCATCCTCTACATATTTGACAACATTTGAAACCCGCTCCTCATCTTCTTGGCCCAACAGATTCTCACATGTCTCCTGGATGAGAAAAGAACAACCTCATGTTCTTATTTCCCAAATGACGCGATACAATGAACAGGAACATATCCCAAAGAAAGAGAACAGGAATGGAATGACTCGTCCTACTCACGGAATCAGGGTTTTCCGATGTAAGCTTATTGGAGAAATAGTCTAATACAGCTCGGGCGCTACTTTTTGCCGTGTCGATGCGGATGTCAAGGTTAGTTGGGCATCGACCCATCTGTGGGATCCTTGCCAGTGTGCTTTGCCGGTGATCAAATGCCACCACACTGCATCATTGGAAATGGTATGTCACGAGGTTTCTTATGTATATCAGTGCATACACTCCACTTCAAATTTTGTAGTCAAGATAAAAAGAAGAAGAAAATTCAGTTGCAGACTTGCTGAGATTTCTGCAACTTGTTGAACGCACCTGGGGATGAATCCAGAGAGCTCCAACGCAAAATTCCTTGGCCCGATGAAATCCAAAAGATAGCAAGAATGGAACCCGGCACCCTTGAAGTCCTCCGCTCTGCTTGTTCCAAGCCAGTGCGAAACAGACAAGCATAATCAATTGGAGGCCAACGCAATGAGGGAACGGTGAGACGCAAGTGAGAGGGAGACCTGAAGGGCTCGACGGAGGAAAAGGGGAGGACGAGGAGGCGCCGGCCGAGGCGGCGGTGGAAGAGGTCAGCGGCGAGCGCGGAGTAGGCGCCGGCGAAGGTGGGGTAGTTGTAGAGCGCGAGGTGGGCGGGGCCCGCCTGGTCCTCGGAGGAGGCCTTGGATGGGTGGGAGTGTGAGAGGATGGCTTCAAGGGAGGCCGCCGAGCGGAAGGCTCGCCGGAGAGAGGACGCCGCCGGCGAGGAGACGCCACGCAGGAGGCAGGGGAGGCGGAGCATTATGGTGGATGGGCTTGGTGACCCCGAAAGCGCGAACTCGCTGCCCTTGTACAGATGGGCCGGCATGGATTAGCCCACCGCAGTGGTGTGAAATGTTCTTCTTTTGTGCCATTCTCGGGGGCATCTCCAAGGGCAAATCAGCTCCCTCAACACTATACTAAAAAAAAAATCCATTTTTAAATTTTTTAACAGAAATTTAGACGAATTCGATATATTACATGCAAACTAATGAAATTTAACGAGTTTGATATGTATTCATCGCACCAGCTTCAAACTAAACCTAAACTAAACTAAAACTATACAGAATAATAGACGATGACCTCGTGAGGATGATCTCATGGGGATGACCTCTAAGGCCACCGAATGCCTCCGTCATCGTCATTGTCGCCATTGTCAATGTCACACCAATTGTGGAAGGCACCCTAGCTGCCGTGGCCACGTCGCACTCACGGCACATCAGCTCCGCCTCCTCCTCAACCTTGCATTGACTTGCCTTAGTCATGAGGCATAACTCATGCTCTGACTCGGCAGTCCAACACGGAGGAGCTGCTCGCTAAGCTGGTGTCGGTCTCTTTGGTGATCTTGGATCGGTCGAGGGCCCAGGCTCCGTGAGCATGGGGTTTGCGAGGATGTGTGGCGTTGTCGTCTTGGCAAGCGTTGCTGGATGCGCTAGCCCTCCAACGAGGATGACATGTTTCATGACCTGTCATCCCCTAGATAGTACTTGATGCGGGGGCACGACTTCAGAGGGGTTGGGTGCCATTTGGAATGGGGGCCACAAGGTCGGGGTGGTGAGCGCTGGAGCCTGGCACGGCGTCTGATCTGGACACCATTGTTTTTCGACGGGGATAATGCCTGCATCGGATCCTGGTTGGCCAACAAGTTCCATAGCGCTAGTGGGAATTGAAGTTGCCGCATGCACTCTTCATCCTTCGCCGTGGGCTGGAGTGGTTGCTCTTGGTCCAAGTCCTTGGCTTCGACCTTCTCTCAATCGACATTGTCGTCCTCATTGTCAATTGACTACTCCTTCACGATGAATGAAGCGGTGGAGGACTCCAACCCAGACGACCTGTGGCCAAGTGAGTCCACAGAGACATGGTGTCTTTGTGTCGACGTCGATTGGATTCAGAGCTTCTCACGGATCTGGTGCTGCGACATGGTAGTAGCTGGTCGAAAAGGTAGTCATCGAGCCGCCTCCACACCCGGATCCACTCCTTCCCCTTCTCTATGATCTTCTTTCCCGTCGCAGCGGCCGGTGGCAGTGTGGTGGGTGGTGATTGGTGGCTACGGTTTTGGGAGGGAAGTGAAGTGAGTGAGACGGGGGAGGGGGCTGTCAGGCCAACGTGGCGGACATCCGGACTCCCCTATTCCATCCCTTGATTTAGGGTGAACAAGGGGATTTCGACGTTCAGACCGCTTCGATCAAACATTTAAGGCGGAGTAGGGGTCCAAGTTGAAAATTCTCTCAAATCCATGACTCCACGGGTCCGATTATGAAGTTTTTTCTCGAACCACCCGCATCCGTTTGGATCCAATGGACCAAATGTGTGTGTGGGGGGGGGGGGCTTTGCGGGTGTCCGGG